ACGATAAAATTAAAAAAACCTTAAATGAAATGTATAAATGTTTTATACATTTAATGGAAACGTATAAAACTATTGCCCATGAAAAATCTACACATATATAAAAAGAGTTTAATAAGAAATGCTCCTTATTTTACAAACTAAAAATACAAACATAATTCCTCCTTTAAAAAAAAATTACAAAAATTTATCTAGCTCATTTTCAAGGGCTCGAGGTGCTCGCTTTAATTGTTCACCAATGAACGAATCAATAACTTTTGCTGAATTCACATCTGATACTAATGCAGCTAAAATAAAACTATAGAAGAACAACACTTATTCTAGTAAACGCTCAGTTTAATATTAAGTAAAAGTTTACCTAAAATTGCTTTGCAGAGTAGCGTCTTTTTAAACGCACGTTTCCCATTACTTCCTGTTTTGTTGAACTGGGCTTGTACACTCTTATCAAGAGTCTGATTGATGCACTTGCTGACAAGCTGCGATGGTGTTCCTCCACCTAGTTGTTTCAAACGTTTTATCTAATTTAAAAAATTCAAAGTTTTAATGTAAACATTTGACATATTTGTTTAAATTTTTTGTATATGTACTTTATTTGATTATATTATTTGTTATTGTATACTTTAATACATTTCTTATTTCACTTTATTATACCTCTTATTAAATCTGCTGATGATAAATATTTTTAACAACTAACTAGATTACAAAACAAATGGTTATACAACTTTTAAGAATAAACAAACAAATCATATTTTACAGTATAAACGTTTTTCATTCAATAGTATTCAATAGTTATAGTACTTATTTTTATATTTATAGTACCTATACAAATTATAGGTAAAGTACCTATAATTTGGCAATACTATTAAAATAGGAAGGATTTTCACTTTTATTGGATACAACTTTTAAGGCCTTATAAGTCATAACTTTATCATTAACAACACTTACTAAAATACTAAATTCCGCATTAGACTCCAATTTTTGTTCAAAAGAATCAAATTCTTCAAGGGAATGACATTTACTAATGAAAAGCGAAGAACATTCGAGTTCCGTTCGCCGACCTAGACTTTCAATTGCAGCAAGAATATTTTTTTGGGATGACTTGATCTCTGCCATTTCCATAAAAAATGCATACTGCCATTCTAAAAGTAACAATGAAAATTGTGATGCTAGAATTTAGAATTTAGAATTTATCTTATATTTGTTTAATGAACTGTAGTGGCATCAGACCACTCAATTAATGACTACCAATTTTTATTTCTTAATTTTCTCTTTACCTAACATCACATATTTGCGTCTGCCCAGGGGCACTGCTGCCCAAACTATTTTTTGTAGAATAGCCTTTAGCAGCTAGCAGTTGCATCAACATTGGGTAGTGGTTATTAGGGCTAATGCAGATGTATGAAGAATAATAGATCCCTATCATTTATATATTACTACATCATAAACCCAGAGTTTATTTCGGGATACCTTTTTTACAGAGCAAGTTATAAAACCGGTACCACAACTCCTACTTTTAAATATCACTGGCTAAAATAAACAGAAAACTACAGAAATCTACTACTGCATTTAAAACAAACTTTTTTCTATTTTTAATAAAAAAGAAACAGAACAACAACTAAAATTAAATATTTTAAGGACCGGAGTTCATTCCTGACTACATATAACACTACCCAACAAGATGCAATGATGCATTGCTAGTGACTTAAAAAAGCTGTTAAACTATATTTAAAAGCTATACACAAGTTGTTAAACTATATATATAAGAGTTACTACGGAAATGTTTCCTCCACAAACAGATATAAGACAGTTGTAAGACTATTATAATATATGCAAAAAATTAAATTCATATAATAATTAAACTTACGTCTTTGATCCATGCACTTAAATGAAGGTGGTGGTTCTCCGTAGTTACCAAGTAGAGGATTTCTCTTTCTAGCATGTCTAGTTGACTCTTGTGGTAGTTGCTTTGATAATAAAAAAGTAGAGCTGCATTTTGGTGAAGGTGGACTCAAAGGCTCACCTGAAAATAAACTTATTTTACATACTTTTTCTTTTTCTAGTTTTTTTTTTGCTTCTGCTGCAATTACTGATATTCCAGAGGAAAAGTCACGCGATACTACATGTTTTGGTGAACGCCCAACCCAACTCTGCACTTTTTCAACCATTATGTCAGGACTTTCTTGATGTGGGTTAGATGTCTGAACATTGCCTTGTAAAAAAGAAAGTTTTTTATATCTTGTAAGTTACCAAAAAAAGTCTTATACATAAAATTAAGTAAAAATATATAAAAAATTAGTTATTTTTTATTAATCTTTTAGTTTATATTGTGAAATATTAAATAAACATTGCTATGCTGACTAACAGAAATAAAAAATACCAGGTTCTGCAAAATCACTATGCGAAAATTCTGAATCAAGAAACATGCAGTCATTACACATTTCTCGAGTACCTTTCTCTAGCGATATTTTAACTAATTCAAATACTTGCCACGATAGATCTGGTGTTAACCACTTGCTTGTGTAGTAGTGAATCGGTTTTTTCCCTTGTGGTGGCCAATAAACTATTTGATCTACTTCATTTACCCAATGCAAAGGCACTATGCACTTCTTAGCCACTCCATTTTCATTCATAGTGACTACAGAGTACAGTCGTATATTGGGCTAAATAGAAAGTCTAATCAATTAAAAACTAATAACAAACTTCTCAAGATTTTTTATAACAATAATTAGTTATTAAAAAATATATTAGAAATCTCTAGTTAAAAAGATAAAAATGCATCTTTAATGAAATAATAAAAGATTATTAATGCCTACAATATAGAAATTAGTTAGTCCAAGATTAATTGCTTATAACAAACCAATTTTATAGAGAAATAAATTAAATAATACAAAAAAGTCTGTTAAAGTAAATAACAATATATATATATATATATATATATATATATATATATATATATATATATATATATATATATATATATATATATATATATATATTTAATTCTGCATATGTATATAAGTTAAATTTGATTAAAAAAAAAAGGCTGCTAATGAACTCTTTTGTTTTAAATATATTTTGGTATAATTACATATTTACGATATTTCCCTGACCTATAGCGGTCAGAAACAAGTGTAATAATAAAAAAAAAACATTCAAATTCAGCATATAATATCGTATAACAAAAATATAAACTTAAAAGATATATACATTTATATACGTATATATATATATATATATATATATATATATATATATATATATATATATATATATATATATATATATATATATTAAAAAAATATCAATCAAAATAATAATAACAATAATAATAATAATAATAAATTTGGCCATCAAAAGGTTACAGTATAGGGTCAGAATATATACCTACATATTAACATTTTAAAATGTGTGCATAAATTCAGCAATAATCTATTTAAAAAAATTATAAGCAAAAGTAAATGTATGAAATGTTGTTCTTGTGAAAACATTGGCTCTGTTTGTAATATTTATTTATAAATATTATATGTAACCTAAATCAATTAAAATTTAATACGTATATTCATTCAATTAATCCTATTCATACTTTTATGTAACCTGGCAACAATCTATTAATAAAAATTATAAATGAAAGTAAATGCATAAAATGTTATTCTTGTAAATCATATCAACATTCTCCACTTAACTTAACAGAATGCACCAAAGCAGAAACAACAAATCCATCTTTAACTTTCATGAAAATACATTTCCGCAAAAAGCTGTTTTTCTGCATAACACAAACAACAGGTTTTATTGTACTCCTGACAAAGTAGATTCCAATATCTCTTGAAGGAAGAAAAGCAGTAAAGTAATTATCTATAAACTGTATGCTATAAGAAAAACACTGATAGTGGTCTTCATTAACTAACTTTTGAAGAAATACAATGCTATCCTCAGTTAAAAAACAAGAATCTTTTTTGGTTGTGGTCATTCTACCTGTCACTTTTTTAACTTGCTTGTAGTCAGTCATTTCATCTAATCTTTTACATACTTGAGCCAAAGGGTTACGTTTGCTGCGAACTAATCTTTTCAATTTCTGAAGATAGTTTTCAAACTTAAAGGCAGACAATTTATCAAGCGAGACTCCATAAAACTTTACATCATCACAAATGTGTAAAAGTCCATGTACATTATATACACAAAACAAATCTCCATAAACCTCATTAGAATTAATAACAAAATATTCAATAAGTTGTTGAGCATTTTCTAGATTCGAGTTTCTCAATACATCATCACTTTCACCATAAAAACCTTATCGCAAGAGACAGACTTAAAAAATGCTTGTAAACAGAGCTGTCAACAACCCCCTTTAATGCAACTATACCAGTATATAGCAAAAAAGATCTTAGTTCAGTAGCTTTCCACCGATCAAGTTCAGTCAGTGATCTAGGCTGTCTGACAAACTCGCTTGGTAGTTTACCATTTAAAGTAGCAAGCTTTTCAGAAATTTGGTTTATCATATTAGCGGACAATTTCCCCTTATTAGTTCCTTTGATATTTCCTTTAAGGAAATACAGCAGCCTACGCATGCATCCTAGACACACTAAGTGCATGTAGTCAAGTGGGAACATATTTATAAAATTTACAGATGTAACTTTTCTTAAAACTGATTTACTGTGTTGATGTGCTCTTTCATTTAAATTTTTTTCAAAATACTCGTCATTTTTGAATTTTTGACTTGTCCTTAAAACAACAACCTTCTTCTCTCATTGAGAAAACAGTTCGACTGCTTATACTTTCTCCCACTATGGTACATCTCTCACAAGAATGAAATCCTGAGTGACTAACAATACCTTTTAATAAAGCTCGAGCAGGAGCGTCACAAATAAATGAATAAATATTAACTTTGTAATGAAAATTGTTTACTACAATAAGACTGTCTTGTAATTCTAATAACTCATTAACAAATTCTCTCAAGTAAACATCGCAGGGCGGTTTGCTTTCTCCACAATAAAGTCCAACAAGAAAAGGGTCAAATTCTATAATAGATACTGCAATTGGCCACAGTTGAGTAGAACTGGATTTAAATAACGGGAGGCCATCTATATTAAAAGATAAGTTTAAGGTAGTTTCCGTAATGGAATGTAAAACAACTTGATTTGTGATTTCTTTTCTTAAACCAAGATAAATATACTCTCCATGTCCATCTATTTTAGTGGAAGGAATGCTTCTTTTTGTTTTTAACAATGTTCTTGAGTTTCTGGGCACGTTGTGATGATTTTCCAAAAAAAGATTTAAAATTTCATTTATACAAGTTTGTGTGCAACTGTTTTTTAGAGCCCAATCTCGTAATTTAGAACAGAGAAGGTCATCATATAAACTTTTTGTTCCTGACTGCAGCAAATTTTCAAACATATCATTATCACTGGCAATTTCATCTGATGTTGAATATATAGCATTTGCATTCTGAGTATTACAACTGGAAGCATCATCCGATGAAGTATATTCTTTATTTTTATTTTGAATAATAGAACTGAGATCCAAAAAATTAGGATTTTGAGGTACTTCAGACATACTTAAAACAGCTGCTCTGCGTGCTCTCTATGCAGAAGATGAACTAAAATAATATAATTACTACTAAACCTACTGCTGAACTAAATAAACCAATTATATAACACAATTAAAGAAAAACAACTAAATTTTTAGTTTAATATTTTGACCTAGTCACGTTAATCTCTATTATTAATTACTGAATAATTAAAATGTTAAATAGCATTAAATACATCATATATATTAAATATAACATATATATAAAAATGACATTAAAGTAAAAAACTATTGTCATTAAATATGTCAAAAAAAACCTTTTTTTTAAAATATAATATGCTAAAAACATAATGATTACACCCTATAGTTTACGTCTTTTGACAAAAAGGCTATAAGGTTTAACCATCATGTTTTTAAAATATTACTTAAGTAATATTTAACATTATTTAAGTAATATTCTAAAAACAAGTTGATTACACTTTAAAGTTTGTTTGCAAGTTTTTGGGAAACAACTTAAGTATTAATTGTAATTGAAAACTATTAACTACCATATTTTTTATGAATGAAATAATCTATAAAAAAAAAAAGGAGAAGAGTTTTGAAAAAAACATTAACAAATTAAAACAGAATGAAAATTTCGAGTACTTCTTTATGATTTTTCTGAATAACTAAATTAAATCCAGGATTTTCCAGTACTTTTTTCAAAATTCCAGGAATTTTAAGGTTTTTCCAGGAACAGTGGTAATTCTAAAGAATTTTCCTTAATTTAATACATTAATGTATTAAACTAATGATTCTTTTATGTCAGGGTTCTTACTAGTCCTGGCATGTCCTCGAGTTTGAAAGTAGTCCCCCACCACCACCACCACCACCACCACACATTTTTTTGTTAATTAATTAAACTAATTATTCAGTCACCTTGTACTTGGATGAGAACGCTTTCGTGTGGCGATTGGAGAATCCTCTGACATTTTCTGTAACAAATTCTGTAGCGTTATTTGAAAAGTTGTTTTGTTTGGGTTATTTCGTTTTTTTAAGAGTTGTAACTATTTCAAGAGTTATTGAGTTATAATTGCTGCAAGAATTATAAAAAAGTTTGTTGTTTCAAGAGTTATAACTAGCTGCCAAAAAAATGCGCTTAAATATTCCAAATTAATCTGTAATTCTTGAACCGTGCGCCGAATCTTATAATTGAGTTATTACGTTTAAAAATCAAAATATGTTACGTTTAAAATACGTGTAAACTACGTATCAAATACTACGTGATATATGCAACGTTTTTATGGCGTTTAAAAAACGTTTAAAAAAGCCTTGGACCAAAAAAGTACGTGGTTAAAATGTTTAATAAACGTGACGTGCTTACTGGGAGGTTTAATAGGTTTGTAAAGTACTCTTTAATTTCCCTAAAGTATACGTTTGTTAAACGTTTGTTAAACATTTACAATATTAACTTATGCTAGCCAATATTGTAAACCTTCAACCAATTATTAATAAACGTATTTATTAAAAGACTTAAAATTCAAAATAAGCGTCAATTTTTAGTCAATAATTGGTCGGCTAACGTTTTATGAATTCTGAGTGACTCTGTGTTTAAATGGAATGTTTTTTTTTTTTATTATTGATAGTAGGAGTATTTATCTGTGCGATTGAATTTTATTACTTATTTAGATTTGAAGCAGCAGTTTATTTCATCAGAAAATCTTGAGTTTGCAATCGAAGTATCAAATAAACAGTGGGAAATTTACTTTGATATGAAGATAGATGATAAGGATTTTCTTACGATTCATGATAATTCAAAATACTTTTTTTATTTTAAAATTATAAAGTTCACAGACAGCAATCGGCGAAAATTTAAAATGAGCTATGTAAAACCGAAGCATTCAGAAATAGATTTGGCTTCACTTATAGTTACTAAAGAAAAGTTAGTGAGAGTACGCATTATTAAAAAAAAAGATTTAACTGTAAGTCAATTTTATAATATATATATATTAATAATAATAATTTGAGATTATAGTGCCATCATTTACAACAATTACAATAGTGATGAAGTAATTCATAAGCACTGAGAAAGTTTACTATGAGTTCTTGAACGCGTCTACAAAAAGTTTGTATTTAAGTCTTTTTTTGAATGTTTCTAAAGTGGCTGAGTTACATGTTTTTTAGACAAGCCATTCCATATTTGAGGTGCTTTCATGGAAATAGACTTTGACCCTTAGGAAGTTTTTGATAGGCGACGAGTAAGTTGACAACTGTCTGATGATTTGTTCCTTGTTTTGAATTTTGGGTTTCTAAAACTTCGAAGAGTTAAGCAGGGGATTTAGTATTTAAAGTTTTATATATATTAACTGATTTTTTATAAAATATTCCTTGATGGATTGGTAACTAATAAAAATATTTTAGCAATTTTTCTGAAATTGAATAAAAAGGAGAATGAGAGTTTTTTAAGATATTTTTTGTAAGAACCTGATAAAAGACTGTTACAATAGTCATGTTGAGAGTTAATAATGCCTTAAGCTATTGTGCTACCTGCTTCATTGGCGAGAGATTGACAAATGTGGCGAAGAGCACGAATATATTAGTTGCAGGATTTAACAGTGTTGTTTATAAGTTGGTCTAAGGAGAGTGTTGAACCAAATTATATTCACATTCACAAACGCACTAAAGTCATATGTTGCATCAATATCAATCTCTCCAGAGACTAAAAGAGATACGTCTGCGCCTCAAATTCTGATCTATCCTACATGCTATTAGAGTATAAAAGAAGTATCAAATCTTCAGAAATCATTTAGACTAATCAGAAATACTTAAACTGTTCATCTAACTTCTATATATCATCAACAAACAGCTATTTCTCCTACATCAATAAAAGATCTACAAATCCCTTGTAACAACAATCTAAATCATCTAGCCACACCCTTTAGACCAAAAATGGCTTAATGATCACAATGCAATTGCCAATTATACTCACAACCAACACATGTTCCATTGGTCCTAAGGTAGATCACCTTGTTCAAATATATGAAGATACAAATGCTCATATTGGAATTCTTACTGAAACAAGGCTTACCTCCACCACTCGCAACATTGTAAACAGTTGTATCCAAGAGTGTACTAAGTTCCTAATAATGTCTTGTGAAAGCAATTGCTTATCTGAAAAAGGAATACCCAAAAGAGAAGGTGGAATTATGATAATAGTCAATCCAAACTACATAAATACCATTAAGGAGCTATCCCCCACGCCTGTCATCATCCAACCCTGACAAACCACTGAATCCCTGAAAACTCTAAATCCACTGAAAAAGTTTCCATGTTTCTTTAAACATGGGAACCTTGAAATAGTTGTTGCTAGAACTTCCCCATATAGATTACCACGTGGATACTCATGTGTCCTTATGGCTCTCGTTTATATTCCAGAATGGCAATCAAGTTGTCAGAAGAAATCTCGCAGCCTTTGTACGCCTTAGAAGACTCAGTAGCCATATGTAACATTACCAATCCACCTCTAATTTACATAGTTGGTGACTTTAATGGATGCAATGTTAAACCACTATGTAAGAAGTACCCATTTATAGCAGGTAAACAATGACCCAACTCAAGTAACAACATCTAAATTATCTTGTCTTGACATTATACTAACAAATGCTGCTAAGTGTTATATTTCCGAAATTCTAAAACTAATAGGCCAATCTGAATCTCCAATTGATTAAGATTTCAAAGCTTATCATTTATTAAGTATGAATTCCAGAAATGTCAGTGATTATAATGTTTTTATTGCTTTTTCTCGCCAATATATGTATAAAAACACTCGACCAAAACCTAAACGCGTCCAAATACGATCGGAAAGATTAGAGATACAGTTGCTGCCATACGATTTCTTGACATGCGCAGTATCCTAACAAACCTTGACTCTGACCCACTTGGAACATTCTCAGCCTTCCAGAACGCTATAATTGATGCACAAAATATACATCAGCCTCTTTGTACAATTAAAGTATGCGGTGACCAAGAATGGATGACTGCTGAAATTCTTCGCTTCATAAAACAACGTCAACGTTTACACAAAGCTGGTCTTTATGACCAACGTAACACCCTGGCTGATGCTATTGCTCAACTTATTGCTATCCAAAAAGCATTTTACTACAGAAATAAATATAAATATGCCAATAGTAAGAATAATATGTGGTCTCATGCCCGCAGGCTATCAATCCAAATCCGCACTTTACCGACAGATGAATTTGGTGCAAAACTAAAGGTGCAATTTTCATATATAGTGTGGCAAGGAATTATTAGTCCAGATTTATCACCTTATTTTAATTCATTTGCCTCTCTACCAGAATTGTCTACTTTAACCTTCTCTAACGCCAGTGAACTACTCAAACGCATCAAATTGAAACCAGCCGGTCATGACAGCGTATCTTGCAATTACTTTATGCGGCGTGTCTTCAACTAGTCAAAGCTCTTGTTACAATTTTTAACTATT